ATTTGGACCTTTCTCCACATATTAAAAATGTTTTAGCTGAAGTTTCTGCTAATTAATTCTAGTGATTTCGCAAGAAGGAGGCAATATTTCTTTTCCAAGTAAACAAGTTTAAATAACATTTAAGACTAAAGATTAATGACTGTCTAGGAACACATGAGGATCTACGTGAGCATGTTGTCCTCAATGAGAGATCAAGAAATGTAGTTTCTCTTGTGAATAGATCAGGACATGCCAAAGAGATGTGCAGTCATCTTACCTACAGCATTTTTGGTAAAATATATGGAAAAACTTCAGTTCAAGTTAACACACTGATATTCACTAGAATCTTAGCACTACGTTTTAATTTATTTGACAAGACTTCAATATACTTCCTTAAGAACAACTTGCCCTGGGATTGGAAAAATCTGTCAGTTATGCAGATCAGCAGCAACTAAGTTCAGTCCTTTCCAGTGATCTTCTCCCTGTCAAATATTAAACCTGGTATCCTAACTGTTCCATTGTGTTTTCTTCAGCTCTGCTTTATTGATCCATCTGGGTATGTCAGGCTGCCATTAAAAAAAAAAAGTTGAATGCTAAATAGATGCTTCTTTTCAAGTCAAGGGTGCATCACTGATCAATTTCAGTCTAAGCTAGTGGTAGTTTGTGGCATATAGTTTGTAATTTCAAAGAAATAGATGGACTTTAAATATTTGGTGTCCTCGCTTTAGTAAAAATGTTTGAGTGTCCATATCTAGGCAGTGAAGCCCTTCCACTACCATTGTGAGGTTATTGCAGTATGTCAGTCTATTTCCCAGGAAATAAATATGGTTCAGTAGCACACATTTATTCATGTGGGTCAAATTCTTGATCTCAAAAGAAATTGTATTGGGAAGTACTTCAACAGTATTTTACAACAGTCTGTCTTGACTATATTCTGTTTTGCATCTTTGTTTATTGCAAGAAATTAAGAGGTGTTTCACACAATTATCTTTCCCCTCCTTTCTCCACAGTATAGTCTGAATATTATTTTGCAGTACTCTTTTCTGCTAGAAGTATGTAAGTGGATGAGCAAGATTGATTAGGAGGCTCCTAGATCGAGTGTTTTTATGCCCTGCTTACACCTGATTTTCTGAGCTGTTCCCTATGAAAACTAAACTTAATATATTTGCAATTTCTTCACATCTGCCCTTCCATTCCTTCTGAACATATTGGCCAGTTTTATTCAGATGCGGAGATATAGGAGCGTGAAAACTGCTAGCTAGGTAGGAGAGACACATCTGAGTTGGTGATAGTACTTACAAAAAGTTAGAGTACTGTCAAACAGTATATACAGTTGTCGTCAGCTGTGAATGGGAAAGACTTGCTCAGTCAGTAGTTATTGCTTTCTAGGAGGTTCAGATATATGTCTCCTGAAAGAGTGAATTTTGTGGCAGGCAATCTGCTCAATGTTGGTAAATCTTGGGTGGAGCAGGATATCTGTCTGCTGAAAGATAGGTATCTTTGTTCTATTCTTGATAAAGCACGTAGAAATTACATTTTTAAAGAAGTTAAAATAGAAGAAGATTGGGCTGCCCCTGCAATGTTGTGTTGTTCTGGTTTTTTTTTTTTTTTTTTTTCTTGAATTAGGTTCACCTTTTTGGAGCTTCTCTGGGAGGCTTTCTGGCTCAAAAATTTGCTGAATACACACACAAATCTCCCAGAGTTCAATCTCTCATCCTGTGTAATTCCTTTAGTGACACTTCTATCTTCAATCAGACATGGACAGCAAACAGGTAAGGAAGACTGAGACAAGCGATCAGATGTGTAGCATTTTTTTTGCGATGAAATGTCACGCTGATCTGGTTGGACATGTGTCTAACCTGCTTCCACCTGGGCGAGGGAGGTGCGGGGTGGAATGCTTGGGACTGTTAAAGCCACGCCACAAGGAAAATGGAAATTTTCGCAATTGGGAGCATGGAATTGGACAGACAAGTCGTCCTGTCATCCTCTGTGGACGTGCCGTCAGATTTAAGAACTCTGCCTGTTTTCTAGCAAAGCTGTTTAAGAGTCAGAAGAGTGCTATTCCCCATGTTTAAAATGCACTTTTGCAGTGCAAGACTAACAGCTTCCCAGACCATTTCAAGCACCTAGCTGCGAGGTTTTCCATCTCTGTGCTCCTGAAGCTGCTTCAGGATTTCATTTGAAGTTAAAGCACAAAGTCCAGGCAAGGAAAGGGCGCGCTTACAACAAAGCATCTTAACGTTGGAGTCCCGGGTGCTTGAAGGTTGTCACTTCTTGTTTCTGTTTTAGCTTTTGGCTGATGCCTGCTTTTATGCTGAAAAAAATTGTCCTTGGGAATTTTGCATCTGGTCCTCTAGATCCTGAAATGGCGGATGGGATTGATTTCATGGTGGACAGGGTAGGTAGCTGCGTACTCCCGTGGTTGTGATGCCAATCTCTGCAGATTTATTAGCGGGAGGTTGGGGTGTTTCTGCTGCTTTCTTCATTTACTTACCCAGAAGGGAGGGTTAAGGAACAGAACCTTAGGAGGTGTTGACTGTCCCAGCAATGTAACTGGTGCTGTGACCGCCTGCCTGACAGTCCTGTTTGTTTATGTAGATCAGAGGAGAAGTAGCGAAGAAACTGAGGTGGGAGAGGAGAAAGTGCAGGGGTACATCTGTAGGCTGTGCTCTGGAGGCGGGAGCAACTAGCGGCACGTGTTTTAAGCATTTGTCTCACGCAGAGAGATACTAAGTTGGAACTGTAACCTTCGTCTGAAGTGCAGTCACGTTTCCCTTTAAAACTAACCTCTCTTTGGCTGTACTGTTAATATTGCATTAACTTCCTGCAGTGAAATATCTTGTTAATCAGTGTTTCTCTCTACTGGAAAGCTGGAGAGTCTGGGCCAGAGCGAGCTCGCTTCGAGACTTACCCTCAACTGCCAGAACTCCTATGTGGAACCTCATAAAATCCGAGACATCCCTGTAACCATTATGGATGTAAGTTAATCTCCGCCTAATCCTTTTTGTTTTTTTTAAAGACTGTTTCCTGCCCTTGGCAGGTGGGGCCCGGATATTCTGTTAGCAACTTAATAAATATTTGCAGCGTCTAACTTCATCTTTACATAAGCCTCCTACTGACTGGGCGACACCGTGACTCTTCTGTGTCAAATTACGAATGGGATATTCTGTGCAATAAGACAGACATATGTTTACGTATCACAGCGTCGGCTTCCTGGCTGTCAGTGCCTCACGTGTCTGCTTGTTTTCTGTTTCTTTAACATTCTTCCACAGAGAAGCTGAGAATCGCTTCTAGGAGCGACATGTATCCAGTCTGATTTAATAAGCAAAATCTGATTAGATTTAGAACTAACTGCTGTGACTTGTTCACGTAGGTGTTTGACCAAAGCGCACTTTCGACTGAAGCAAAAGAAGAAATGTATAAGCTTTATCCCAATGCCAGAAGAGCTCATCTCAAAACAGGAGGCAACTTCCCGTATCTCTGCAGGAGTGCTGAGGTCAACCTATACATTCAAGTGAGTCTCTGCATTCCAGCTGAAACGGCGCTGGGGGCTCCTTTTCTTTGCTCGCTCTCCTTTCTTAACCCGCCTGAGCTCTCTTGGCTCCGGCTCCCGGATCACTGACACAGAAAGGCAGGGCTGGGGGCAGCCGCCTTTATCTCTTTTGGAGCCTGCACCAAGCCACTGCCAGTCTCTTCAAGGGGTTGAGCCTATTAAATTGTCTTTATGTCAACCTGTGAGTTTTGCCTTTTTTTTTTTTTCCTGATTCTCTCCCCATCCCACTGGGAGGAGTTAGCAAATGGCTGTCTGGTGTTTAGCTGCCTGCTGGGTTAAACCATAACACAATCAAAGACCGATTTTCAAATCGGTGAAAATTAATTTCCTCAAATGTTCATAGTGTGCTACCAGTGCATCAGAATGCTCTGGGAAGTCAGTTGACAAAACAAACGTAGATATGCATGCCCAACTGGTCAGCAACAGCATATTTGGTTGTTAGTGTTTGTAACTGTTTTATGTTGATAATGTGTAGTAAGTTGGGGAACTCCAGTTTTGTGGCGATTGCTCATGTAAGTATTTTGTTTTGGTCAGAAATCTTGTGCTTAAAAAGAAAAAAGCATTGAGGTCTTAAATCTAGAAAACTTTGATAGAAGCTGTTGATAATTATCAAAACATATTGTTCATCATGGTAATTAAAAAAAATCCGTCTCTCTTCTGGGTGTCTGTACATATGTGCTTGTTGCTGTGCAGTGAGCAAGAATTCCAAACCTTGGAAACTTAAACTTTTTCAGATCACCAAGAATACTTACATATGGGGAAGGAGGAGAAAGTTTTGATTTTTTTTTTATGGTGAATAACTTTGTAGTTGTTTGTAGGTGAGATTTAAAATGTAATTGAATTACTGCATTTTACAACTTAATCCCCTTCTCCAAATTGATTGTGTAACTGACTGGATTGTTATTTTTGGAAGTTCAGTAGGTTTAAATACGTGCTCCTCTGTCAAAGTTTCAGGTGACTGCTACTACTTTGTTTCATATTTTCATAAGAAAATTCTTTTTGCTTGGAAAGTGTTGCTGTGAAGGAGAAATAAAAACATCTGCCTCAGCAGTAAGTGCTTATAGTCATGGTAACTTGAGAAGGGTGAATTTGTCATCTCCCTTTTTTCCTCTTCTGCCCCTGAATAAAGGTATTACGAAACAGGAAAGAAATTGCTTCAAGCTTTTGGATTTTCACGAAAGACAATTACAGCATTTGCTCAAATCCAGGATTCTTCTAAATCTAAGTTGACGCTACACATTGAGTATTGATTTAGGGTGGAAAATTAAAATAGTGTGTATCTTAAGGTTAATAATAGGAGGGTGAGGAAGATTGATGGGGGAAGGACTTCCAGGGGAGTCACTGCCATGATATGTTGTGTGTGACTGCTGTTCCAATGCAATTGCCCCAGCACAGGCTCTAAGGAGGAAATCTATGTGGACCCTTGGATTTTGAATCTCCAAAAGACAAGTAAAAATGTGGGTTTGAGTGCAGGAAAATATAATGAAACTTTATGTAGGGAAGAGTTTATCCAAAAGAAATCAGAATGTATTGAGAGAAACTTCTTTAAAAATAATTATAAACAGTAGAACAGAATACATTTCATTGCGTGTTATTTGATTGTGTTTTCCAAACTGAAACATCACTATGCAAAGAACTTAAAAACAAAAAAAAACACCACAAAAAAAAAAACCAACAAAAATATAGACAAGACCCCATTTTATTTAATGTGAACAAATGTAATTGCTCAGTAAGCATTCAGTTTATTTTTTTTAATGTTTTCATTACAAATATATTTGATTTTGTTACTTTGTAAATCTCTGGTATTTAGACAGTGTTAGGTGGGTGATTGTTATGTCGCTGTGTTCTGACTCTTACCTAAAGAATGTTAAAGGGGGAGGGGAACAGCAGAGAGTATAGGAAGGAATCATCTTTTGCAAGTCTTGAGCCCTTGGGTGTTACTTGTTTCTGTTCCCTGCAACTTTCTGTCACAGTGTTCTTAGATTATTTTTTTTTTTAAATATTCTTCTGTGGTTTTGCATATAGTTTTTGAGGGGCCATTAAAATGGAGTAATTTTCAGCTGAAGTAAAAAGTCCTGTGCTTTGCACCTTTAGAATGCATATTCATTTGTCTTCAGATATCTTCAAAATTTTGATTATGCTTTTGATTGCTTTCTTTGACAGGGCTACGATAGAGGAGGCATATTCAAGGTCAATGACAAAACTAGCCAAATCAGCAAGCAATTACACACAACTTGGGTAAGTAAGTGTGTATAAGACAGAAATAATTAACTGCATACATGTTAAGAATCAAGTTTGATTCTGAATATTTTATTGATGATGTTGAAGGTAGCAAAACTTTGCCACCTTTAAAAATTATTTTTAGTTCTTCAGTTACTATACAGCTATGCAAAATATCATACAGCTATGCAAAATATCATACAGCTATGCAAAATATCATACAGCTATGCAAAATATCATACAGTACAATTCTTTATTTACAGTTTTTAAAAAACAAAAAGCCCCAACACCATGGAGGAATTGTCTGTTCCTCTGTGTTTAAGGTTGAGTTTTTTTCAGACATAATAAAGAATGTGACTTTCTATTCCGTGCTCCCAAGCCTATGGTAATTATTTTGAAAAGAGAACATGGAGTCTGCAAATGTGGCAGTGAATTTATTTACTTCTATTATTTCTACTTTCTCAAGTGTTATCTCTGCCCTCAGACATATTAAGAATGAGAGTTTTCAATAGATTTATTCCATATTTTAATTAAAATTTTATACGTGGGATACATTTGAAAAAAAATGGAATGATTAATGGATGTTGTTTTCATTAGAAAGATTCAACAGCTCAGACTTCTTAGATGAGGCTAAAGATTATTTTTATTTGAAGTAATCACAGCTAGAAATGTGGAGAGCTTTCATCAGTGGATAATTTGATACCAGTTTTTGCTGCTCTTCAAAGGTTCTGTATCTGCATGTTAGTTTGAACATCAGTGCTTTAAAGGCTATGCATGATATTGGTTTTTCAGCAGTATTGACCTGGAAACTGAGGTAGGAATGTATCTTTAGAATAGCTGGAGAAGTCCATTCAGTATAGAAATCTGGATCTGAGGAATGACCTGTCCCCCACCTTCCTTTACCATATGGTTAATCTCGTGGCTGTAATGATGTAAGACAACTGGAAACGTAACTAGCCAGGTAATTTTTGGTTCCTTTTTGCTATTCAAGTATGCACATAAAAATACTTGTACATGTTAATTTTTTTTTGAGCTGCTCTTGCATCATCTTTAGGAATATCATTTGTCATTATTGTGTGTTGATGATGGAGAAGAATAAGTGAATTTTGCTGTGTTTTACTCAGTCAATACAGGTAAAACACTGAAAATACAGGTAAAACACTGAAAATACAGGTAGGATTCCAAGTACGTTTGAAACATTTAATAAGAATATCATTTATAGCAATTGTTGGGTTTTTTGTTTGCTTCAGTTTAAGGAACAGAGCTGAAATTCTGTAAAAATATCAGTTATACTTCAGCACTATTTAAAAAAAAATTGTAGCCAACTGAAAGGAAAAAAAATCCAGATGAGCATTAATTTTTCTTCTTTCCTCAATCTAGGACATTTGCACCAGTTTGGGATGTTTTCAAAACCTCAACAGAAAAACTAGCAAGCTGTCACTTGGACCTTGTGCGGAGATTACAAGAGCTAATAAAAGAAGTTCACAAGTATGGAGATGAACAAATCAAAACTTATAAAAAGGTTATTAATTTTTTTCTTATGTGTGTCCAATGACTTGTTAATGTTAAAATTAAAATGGTTTGGTTTTGACAACTATGTGATATTTGGCAGACTAAAGAAGATGTTTCAGGAACATTGGAAGCAGTGCAAAATATTCAAAGTATCACTCAGGCCTTACAGAAATCAAAGGAAAACTACAATGCAAAGTGTGTCGAACAAGAACGTTTGAAAAAGGAAGGAGCAACACAGAGAGAAGTTGATAAGGTAGTTCTGTGACATCTTACTTAAATTCATTGTGTTATCAATCTGTAACACATTCACCTTGTATTAGTAAGTGAAATGCTCAAAAAGGGCTAAAAGTAGTTGTAGCTATTTCATAATGTGCATGATACTTTGAATGCCTAGTTATGTTTTGTTTACACTTCTTATCTGTTCTAACTGCACTGCAGTTCTAGTTCTTTATTTTGTAATTACCTGGATCATATGATAATTTTGTTCAGTGGCTTTTACAGAAATTGCATATAATTGTTTCAGCTTCTATTATGTTTTCAGATGCATTTTCTATGTAAATATGTAAACAGTCAATCCCTTTGTTATTGAATTAAGGAGTAGGAAGTTTTGTGTTGTCCCCTCAAGTGAGACAAAGTAGACCTTGGGCTGCCTGGTCCCCTGAGTCTGAGGACCGCGAGTGCGGGAACAGTGATTTTTCCATTTGTGGGCACCGAAATCGTAAAGGATTGGCTGTATTAGCTGTATGTTCATAAGTCCGTGGAGCCTGATGGGATTCATCCCAGAGTACTGAAGGAGCTAGCGGATGTTACAGCAGGACTCCTCTCGATCATCTACCAAAGGTCTTGGGAGTCTGGGGAGGTCCCCGCTGACTGGAAGCTAGCCAATGTTATTCCAGTCTACAAGAAGGGTGTGAGGGAAGACCCAGGAAACTACAGACTGGTTAGTCTAACCTCAATACCTGGAAAAATTATGGGGAAGATCATACTGGGTGCTATTGAAAGGCATTTAAAGAACAGTGCAAGCACCAGGCACAGTCAACATGGGTTCACAAAGGGAAAGTCCTGTCGAACTAATTTGATATCCTTCTATGATAAGGTCACCCGCCTAGTGGATGAAGGGAAGGCGATGGATGTAGTTTCTCTGGATTTTAGTAAGGCTTTTGATGCTGTCCCTCACAGCATCCTTCTGGACAAGTTGTCCAACTGTGGGATGAGCAGGTACACGGTG